GCTTAAATTAAGGCAATTAAGACAATACAGAAGAAAATCACATAATAAGAATGCCAAGGAAATGATGCAAACAAAACACAAGTGATGTAAATGAAAGGTATCAACAAGAATCACTACCGAGGTACCGACTCATAGTCTCATTTCACAAGTAAAATTACAATCTTTCTTATATCACCATGGGAGCCTTACATTTAGTTTTGAAAATTATTTTTCCGAAATAGCTACCCGTGTTTTAGCCTACCTTATCACACCGCATGGCTTCAAGTAGTTCCTCCACTAGCAACACGCATACCAAGCCAACCTTATCTCACCACATGCGTTTCAACCCTAATCCGTATACCAATGCATGCGTATCAATATCACCACATATCACAAATCGCACCTCAAGTGCCCAATATCACAACTTGCCAAAGAAGTCAATAATAATAGTATTTCCACAATAAGTAGCCCATGGCTCAGCCACAATATATACAAGAGTCTCAACAATAGCAACCGAAAGTGAATAACTCAACAAGAATGGTATTTTAACAAATTTACAACTTTGCCTCAATGTGAATCACAACCTTTATAATCTTCAACACCGCAATCCATCAATAACATATTCCAAGAAATAACAACGTCAAGTAAGGGAACTCAACAGTTAAATAATGAATAAGTAATTGAGAGAACAATAACTTCAACTAAGCATGTAAAGGCAATTACCAAGTAAGAGATAATACAAGTATTAACAATGTCAAATAAAGCATGTGAAGATAAGTTAAGGATGATGGATATAACATATTGTGGCAACTCAATCAAAGGCATGGAAAGAATCTACTTAGCTAAAACCGATCAATTACAACATTTAGCCCTGTAATGCACTCATCACCTTGCGTACACGGCTTTCACATACCACAATTACACAAAACAACACTAATCCTAGGGGTAATTCCCCCACACAAGGTTAGACAAGACACTTACCTCAAAACATGCTAACTCAATCCACTAGTAAGCCTTTTCTGCGATTATCCAACTCCGAACAGCTCAAATGTATCCAAAATAACTTTATACCATAAATACAAACCATAGGAAACTATTTCGAACAATAAAATTGTAATCTTTAAAGAAGAACAAAAAGTCAACTCATAATCCTGGGCTCGTGTCTCGGAACCCGACCAAACTTACAAAATTCGAATACTCATTTGATAACGAATCCAACCAGACAAATATTACTCAAATCCGACCTCAATTGGCCTTTCGAATCCCCAAAATTTGGTCTATGAAGTTTCACAATTTTTCCCCAAATTTTTCACCTCAAAACAATATTTAAATGACAAAACTAATGATGGATTCATATGTAATAGCCAAATCCGAGTTAGAATCACTTACCCCAATGAATTTTTAAAAATCCCTCAAAACTTTGCCACAAACCGAGCTCTCTAGGTCAAAAGATAAAGAATGAAATAAACCCTCGTCTCTAGCCCTTTTCTGCCCAGCGATATCCGCTTCTGTGGGCACACTATCGTATTTGCGACCCCGCACCTGCAGAATTTCCATCCCAGGTGTGGCCCTCACTTAGGCCCAACTCCTTTTGCTTCTGCGGATAGCTTCTCGCTTCTGCGAGCACGCTTCTGCAGAGATTCGACCGCACCTGCGGTCCTTCATAAACTCCTCCCAGGTCTGCTTATGTGGAAGAAATGCCACGCTTGCGGATTCGTATCTGCATCTAGGTGTCCGCACCTACGACCCTTCCCTGGGCTGACCCTCTCCGCTTCTGCGATCATTGAGTCGCACCTGCATGTTTGCATCTGCAGCTAACCCTCCGTAGGTACGATGATACCAGAACAGCAGCAGCTTTAGCAAATCAACCAAGTCTGAAGAGTGCAATTGTTAATTTACTGGCTCAACACTCCTTAAGTATATCATATATGCATAGAAAATGTTATGATGGGGAAAGCAATATGCAAGGTGAGATTAATGGTCTTAAAATATTGATTAAGGGAGAAAGTAGATCAGCTCATCCATTCATTATTTTGCTCATCAACTTCAACTTACCTTTGTTGTCGTTTCTAAGCAATGTCTTGAAGTGGGAGAACTTGTAGTATTGGTTTCAAAAATTTTGAATATATTGAGATCTTATTTTAAGCTTATGGATGAATTTTGAAAATCTCAAAAAGAAAGAATTCAAGAAGCATTAGATATGTGCGAGCTTATAACCAGTAGGGGCTTGAATAAAGAACTTGGTCTTTCAAGATCATGTGATACTCGTTGAAGATCTCACTTTAAATCTTTTAATAATTTTATTCTTATATTTGGCTCTATTCTTAATGTTCTTGAATCTCTTGTTCTTGATGCACATTCTACAAGTAAAAGATCCAAGGCAATGAGATATCTCAGGACTTGTCAAATATTTAAGATTTCATTCATGTTGCATTTGATGAGAGATATTTTAGCAATCACAAATGAGCTCAATAAATTCTTACAAAACAAAAGAGCAATACATTGCAAACCCCATGCTACTTGTTGAAGTAGCAACGAAAAGGTTGAAAAAATTAAGGGAAGAGGAATGTGAATCTCTTATTGCTAAGATATTTGTATTTTATATCAAGTATGGTATTTGATACCTCAATTTGATGAGCCATATGCTAGTTCTTTAAGATCATGTTGTAAACCTGCTGATTGTACAGTCTCACATCATTATCGGGTTGAAGTATTTTGCAAAATTATTGATTGGTAAATTCAATAACTTGATGAACATTTTGATAAAGTGACGACTTATTTGCTTTATGGAATTGCTTGTTCGAATCCAATTAACTCATTTTTATGTTTTAACATCAGGAAAATAATGAGAACGGTTGAGTTATAGCCTGATGACTTTGATGAATTTAGTATGGGTGCTCTTTAGAATCAGCTTGCAAGTTATATTATTGATGTTCGTGATGTTGATGAAAGATTCTCCGACCTACATGGGCTTTGTGATCTTTCAAAAAGGTTATTTCAGACAAAGAAGCATTCAAATTATCCTCTTGTATTTTGCTTAGTGAAACCTGCTTTGCTTCTGCCAGTTGCTACTGCATCCGTTGAAAGAGCTTTTTGAAGTTTATTAAGAATGACTTACGAAGTCGAATGAATCATGAATTCTTTAGCGGTTGTTTGCTGCCTTATGGAGAAAAAAATGTGTTTGATAGCATTTCTAATGATGCTATTATTAAAACATTTTAAGATATGAAACCTCGTCGAGTGCAGTTGTAATAATGTACATAGTTATTTTTTGTTGATCTCATTAGGTCCTTGTAACTAACACAAGGCTTCTTTTTTTTATTTTTTCTCTTTTAAAAGTCTTGTTGCTATGATCTATTTATATTAACACTATCTTTGTGCCAAGAACTTCTCTTTCTATTAATAAAATCTGTTACCATCTACCTTTTTTGGTTGGCTTCATTGTGTATTTGATTTTAAAAATGTTTGAATCCCCTTCGCAAATATCCTGCCTCCACTACTGCATGCAGGGTTTTATAGACTCTTTATTAAAGATTTTTCTAAAATTACTATTCCTTCATGCAGGTTACTCGAAAAGGATGTGATATTCAAATTTGATGAGGCCTGTTAGAAGGAGTTTGATGAACTCAAAAAAAAGTTAGTGACTACACCAATTATTGCGGCACCGGATTGGTCCTTGCAGTTTGAAATCATGTGTGATGCAAGGGACCATACCATTGGAGAGATGTTGGGCCAGAAAAAAGACAAGATGTTTACTCCATATACTAAACTTTTGATGATGCACAGATAAATTACACCACCACTGAAAAGGAGTTGTTAGCGGTTGTGTGGGCATTCGAAAAATTTTGAGCCTACTTGGTGGGAACAAAAGTCATAGTCTACACTAATCATGCAACAATCAGGTACCTATTTTCGAAAAAAATCCAAAGCTAGATTAATGCGTTAGGTTTTATTTGGAGGAATTTGACGTAGAAATAAGAGATTGAAAAGGCATATAAAACTAAGTAGCAGACCACCTGTCTCAGATGGAGAACCATATGCACGTGGAAGAAGGTGGAAAAAGTAAGGAGACATTCCCCGATATGAGCAACTTTTTGCTATCACATATGATATTGCCCTGTGGTATGCGGATTATGTGAACTACCTTGTAAGTAGATTTTTCTCTCCAGAAATCTAATCTGAGGCCAAGAAGAGGTTCCTACATGATGTGAACCTTACTACTGGGATGCGCCACTTATACAGACAGTATGTTGATCCGTTGATAAGGATGTGAATCCTAAAAAGGAGGTGGAACAAGTGTTATATAATTTTCGTGCCTCGCCTTATGGGGGTCATGATAGAGGCGATAGGACAACTGCAAAGGTATTGCAGTCGGGGTTCTATTGGCCAACTTTATTCAAAGATGCCCATGTATTTATTAGGAAATGTAACTAGTACCAAAGAACAAGAACAATCACAAGTAGGCATGAGATGCCTTTGACTAATATTTTAGAGGAGGAGATTTTTTATGTGTGGGGGCACAGATTTCATAGGACCATTCCCATTATCAATAGGAAACAAGTACATCTTGCTAGCGGTGGATTACGTGTCCAAATGGATAGGTTGTTACCTTGCCGACCAATGATGCCAAGGTGGTGGCCACTTTTGTGAAAAAAGACATATTCTCGAGGTTTGGGACTCCACATGCTTTGATTAGTGATGAAAGAAAATATTTTTACAATCGGTTGATGAATAACCTTCTATCCAAATACGGGGTCCACCATGGAGTTGTCACCGCGTATCATCTGCAAACAAGTGGACAAGCTGAAATGTCAAATAGAGAAATAAAGCAAATACTAGAGAAAATAGTAAGTGTGAATAGGAAGGATTGGGCAGCAAAGTTGGATGATGTCTTATGGGCATATAGAACTGCATACAAAATGCCAATTGGAATATCTCCATACAAGCTTGTGTATTAGAAGGCATGTCACTTGCCGTTCGAACTTGAGCATAAGGTGTGCTAGGCAGTCAAAAGGTTGTATATGGATTTGGAAGCTGCAGGCAAGAGGAGCTTCTTGCAGTTGAATGAGTTAGATGAGTTCAGGCTGCACGCTTATGAAAATTCCAAGCTTTACAAGGAGAAAATAAAGAGATGGTATGACAAGCGTATCCAATCCCGTCACTTCGAACCAGGACAAAAAGTATTATTATTCAATTTCAAGATCAAGTGGTTTTCTGAGAAGTTAAAATCAAGGTGGCCAGGTCTATTTAAGGTGGTGAAGGTCACCCCATATAGTGCAATCGAGTTGCGCACTTTAAATGGAGAAAGAACCTTTATGGTGAATGGGCAAAGAGTCAAGTATTATTGGGGAGATGTTATTCATCATCAATCTAAAGTGCTACTCTCCGATGATCAGGCGAGGCCCTGCATAGTGCTACGACGTTAAATCATGCGCTTGTTAGGAGGCAATCTAATTTTTATTGCTTTCGTAGAATTGTTTCTCTTTGTAGTTAGAATGTAGAATGGTGTTTTGATTTTTGTTGTAATCATAGAAATTGTATATAGGAGTGGTATTGATATGTGTAAGTTATGTATAAAATGTTCGGGCGGAATGGAGCATTAAAAAAAGGGGTGACCAGTGTCCAGGCCAGAGCCTCGAGCTACACTGGTCCTGGGTCCAGATGCGATTTCCTTCCCCAACGCACAGGCAACGCGTTGCTTTGGCCTGGTGCCCAGGTAAGTTTTTGAATTTCTTTATTTTCATTTTTATTTTTATTTAACCCGTTAACCCCTTGACCCTGACCCGTATACCCATTTTAACTCACCCAATAACCCATCCCCACTACTCCATTTTTCTTAATATAAAAGAACCCTACCTCTTTTTCCTCCCTCTCTCTCTCCCCGATATGTCTCTCTCCCCTCTCTCTCTCAACCTCCCAGCTCTCTCTCTCTCTCTCTCTCTCTCTCGCGTTCTCATCTCTCCCTCTAGGTAAGTTCTTCTTCGTTTCTTCTTTTATTTTTCTTTTATTTTCCTTGCCTTTCTTTTTTTTTTCCTTCCCCATTCCCTCACTGTTTCGCCCCCCAAACATTGAGTTTCCCCACCCCAATTCCCCCTAGGTTTGAATTTGAAATACTTTGGTATGGAGTGTTTCATATAGGTGATTTTGATGAATTTGATTGTTGTAGTTGTTTTACACGAGGTAGTAAACTATAAGTGCCATTATCTCATTCAAATTTGGGAGGGTAATCTTGATACCCCATTGTTGAAATATGATGAGCACACTTGATACCCACTATGTGTTTGATAAATTTCTCGAGAGAAAAGTTTATGTGCCGGTAAAGTCTAAGTAGCCAAGCGTTTATGTATGATATTTCGGGCTAAGTGTGGGGTGTTTTGACAATGCACGAGGATTGAATGCTTGATTCCATAGCCGCTTAATTGCAATTTTTGTGTACCTTTTAAGTTGTATTGTATGATATATGTTAGGATAGTTTAATGTATCATATTACTTCTTAGTAGTTGGGGTCGACGTTCTCACGATTGAACTCCTACAAGCCCCGTTATACTCAGTTCGAATGATTAAATTGGTGACTTGTGTGATATGTGACATATGCTTGATTGGCATGGAAAGTACCCTTTTCAATTGTTGTACAACACTTGTTGGTATGCTATGCAACCAATGTGAGTATTTTGCATAGGGCCTTTGTTCTAAGTGTGGGGTTATCTTAGACTTTCACTTTGACCTTAGGCAACTTTCTTGATCGTTTCTCATATGTGGGGTAATTCTTTTTCAAGTTGTAATGGATCATGATGGCCCGGGAAAAGCAAAGTCTGCGGGGAAGTCCTCTACTACTGCTCCCCCTCTCAAGAAACAAAAACAAGGCGAGGTCACTTCTAAGCAAGCGAAAGGCAATCAAGTTGCTGAGGGGTTAGGGAACACATCTTTGGGACCGCGTCCCAAGTGGAAATTGGTTTGCGAGGATGCTATCAAATGGTACCACTCATTCGTTCCATATGGGGGATATGTCTCGTAAATGGGGATTAATGTAACTTCTTTAGAAAGGAACTTCCCACAGATGCTGAAGCGACTGAAAAGCTTAAAGAGGGACAAATTGTTAGAGTGTCCTGGGCATGCAATCTTGAGCATGGTTAAGGAGTTTTACGCTAATTGGAATGAAAAAAGATACATATCGTGGTAAGGGGAAAGGAAGTACCACTTGACAGGGAGGCTTTGTGCAAATTTCTAGGGGTAGATAGCCCGGGCCGAAGATTCTATCGAAGTCTTTGAAAAGCACAACCTACACTGCCATTCGTCACATACTTTGTGGCGTGAATTCTAATGCTAAGTGGACGAGGACAAAGGTTCGCACCCACAATGAGCTTCTAAGGGTAGATTTCAACAAGACTGCCAAGGTGTGGCAGAATTTTGTGCAGGCGAGGCTTATGCTCGTGGGACACAATATAAGTTGCACTCAGGCTCGGGTATGCTTGATCTATGTTTTGATAACTGGGAAGCTGGTCAATATTAGTGAGTGTCACACCTCCTTTTTCCCGAGGGATAGGGGAGTTTTTTCAATAAAAGTGACACTATTCGAAATGGGATTATTTAATTTAAATCAGAGTCGCCACTTGGGATAATTATTATGGTGTCCCAAGTCACCGGTTTATTTTAAAATCCCAAATCGAGAAAATTGACTCTTATTTATGGTTTGCGAACATAAAAGACCGAGTAAGTAATTCTGTTAACCCAGGAGAAGGTGTGAGGCACTCCCGAGTTCCGTAGTTTTAGCACGGTCGCTTTACAATTACACTTGGCTTAATTTTTTGATTATTACATGTTTAAAACCTTTTATGCGTTACCGCTTTTATTTATTTTAACCCTTTTAGTATTTATGAAATTTATTTGAACAAGTCGCGATGTCGCGCACTCGTTGTTTTGGTACATATTGCAAATCACGCCACGTGAAATGCACCCGTGATTCATAACATATTTATTTTAATTATTTGAAATTGTGGTCAAGTCGCGTGAAACGCGCACTTGAGTTGGGATTTACGTATCGTGACCGTGCCACGAGAACCGTACCCATAGTCACGATGATTTATTATTAATCGCGCCTAAAATAATCTACGATGTTCATAATTTGCTCAACTCCTAAGTTTGAGATTATTGTGAGGCGATGAATTATGAAATCAATTGTGGAAAATGATCAGCTTTTGCTCTTAATTATTCTGGCCCAGATAACATAAAATTGATCATAGCATAATTGGCTTTTTAAAGCCAATTAATGAGTATGCTCAGTTAATAGTTCATCAAGCTACTCCACTATCCATTAGTCAATTGCAGTAGTACATGCTTCATTAAGCAAAGTCCAACCACCGGGCCCAATCATCTTTTTTTTTTTAAAGTCCAAATCTCATTTTCCAATTTTAACTAGCAGACATGGATTTTATCCCCAAAGTTCAAACATTCACTACGTGCCCAAAAATCATATTTTCATCAATCTTCATGTTAATCAAACAAGAAAGTAACAAAATTTAACAAAGCTAATGAGACCTAACAATTAATATAGAAAAACATTTCAATCTTCATGAAGTTAATAAGATCAAATTATATATTCAAGCATAATATCTGAACAAAATAATGATGGGAGAAATGGACCTTTATAAGACTATTTTGAAGCTCGGATAATGGACAAGGATACAAATGGAGCCTCGACCAAAATCGACAAACGGAGCTCAAACTCGACGACTCAACTTTGGAGCTATTATTTTTTGTACAAAGAGGACTGTTTTGCTGGGTTTTCGGCTCGTTTTTGTCGTGCTTTTTAGCTTGGTTTCAAGTTGGTTTCGGGGTTGGAGTTTGGTGATGGATTGCTGGATTTTTCGAAATAAAGCTAAAGAAAGAATGACACGAATAGAAATTCTCTTAGCGTAGAATAAGCAAAAATATTTCTCTCAATTCCCTCCTCCCTTTTTTTTCCTTTCTCTCCTCTTTTCTTTCTCCTCACATTTCTCTTCTGTTTATAGAAAAAAATTCGGAATTTTTTCAGATTATGTTTTATTATATTATTATTTTATTATTTTTTAATTAAAAAAAATTCCCACTTCCCATTTTTCTTCTTTTTTAAAAAAAGTAATTCCCCACTTTCCTTTACTTTTATTTTTTAATTTCTCACTTTTTTACTTTTATTATATTTAAATTATCACTTTTTCTTTACTTTTCTTTTTTTATTTTTCACTTATTTTACTTTTCTTTTTTTAAATTTCCACTCTCTTTTACTTTTTTAAAATATTTACAGCTACCTTTACTTTTATTTCTTAATTCCAACTTTCTTTTACTTTTTATTTTTTAAATTTACACATTCTTTTACTTTTATTTTTTTAATTTTCCACTTTCTTTTAATTTTTATTAAATAATTTTCACCTACTTTTACTTTTACTTTTTAATTCCATACTTTTACTTTTCCTATTTTTTTATTAAAATTCGAAAAATTTTAAAAAATAAATATTTAATTTTCTTCGGGTTTTTAATTTATTTTATTTTAAAATAAAGATAAAAATAAAAATAAAAATAATATTAATAGTAATAATTGACCTTTTAAATTATTTTTAATTTTTACTCTATATATATAAAAAATGTCACAAAGCTAAAAAATATATATATATATATATATTAAATTTCTAAAAATATTTACACAGTAGAAGGTGATAAAAATTCAAATATAGTAAAATATTAGGTGCTCACAGCTGCCCCTCTTTGCTTGGAAACATGAAGAGTTTTCAGGCAGACTAGGTGAGCCATGTGACTAATTTTGACCAAACCGTTATTAAAAAGGAAAAGAAATAAAAGATAGGGTGCAATCGAGTCCTGGTTTTGGACAGCCTACTTATCTCGGGTTATAAGGGAATCAGGTCGCATGTAGTTCAAGGAGAATGGTAGAATGATGAGTTGAGGAGTCGAGTGAGGTTCCGTCGAGGATCTGGTCCGCGGTCCTGCTATTATATCAAAATAAAAAAGAAACTAAACAAGCCTATTAGTTATGAGTTACAAGATTCCTATCTATGATTCTTCTGAAACTTCATTTTGAGTCTTGACTGGTTCTTCATGCAGACTCTGATCTAAACCTTGATGCTCGCTAGCTGCAGGTGCTAGTTCATTGTTCTATAGCTTATTCTAATCAAAACAGGACTCCAATGCTCGTGGCTTCAGTCATGTCTTGAGCATTCCACATCTTTTCAACTGCTTTTACATTTTGGATTCACTTATTTTTTCTTTTCTTTTATTCTGAATTGAGACTTCTTCTTTTGGTCATCTCGAACCCAGTGCTTCGAGGTAAAACCAACTCAGACACCAAAACAAACAAACGAACAAAATTTTTCTGCCCTAGTTTACAGTAGGAAAATTTTGCGAGTTATTGTAACAAAATTCTAAACTACTTCTTTAT